CTCGCTGACAGACAGGTCAGACTCAGAACTTGCATTATGCCTGGTACACACTACACAACTTTTCTGCCCGTTCTGAAAGTCACTATGTAACATTACACGATTGTGGAGTCATAATATCGTGCCGTGACTTGGCCGACAGACATGACACACTACATGGTAGTTTAATTGGTGGTACTCACCAATTAAACCTGGTCGTCTTTCACAACGTGTGTGATGTCATCAGGTTATTCTTGTCCTATTTTTGTTACTTTTACTATCATCTGAGTCACTGTGTCTGTTCATGTTTCAGCCGAAATGTTGTTGTAGTCACCTAAAAGCGTCAGCAGATGGCAGGTGCTACATTTGAAGCACCGTATGTAAACATTCAAGCTACTGTATCCGCCACAACAAGTTCATACAAATGTTTCAGAATAAAAGCCTATTTAGAAAATGGAGGGATTCTCTACCCGAGGTTATAAGGGGCTTTTAATTTGAAAGAAATTCAGGAAGCGTTGAGTTTGAAATGATGATGCGATATGTTAACTTTATAAAGACAATGGAATGATTAATCAATAACGGACTGTCTATAATGTAGTCTGTTTCAAATGAAGCTGGTAGCCTCTGCAGTTGTGGTGAGTAAAAGCCACTATTTGTTAATGTTATTACTTTATATCCGACTGTGAGGATGTAACATTGTTTGCTAGCTTGATGCTAGTGACAGTAACTCACCCGGTTGACAAAGTGCCTCTACTGTTTCACACCGTCATTTTCCCCTTTTACTCTGTGTGGTAACATCCCTAGAGGAAATATTAAAAACGCTGGGGTTGTCTATGGCAGCAGATCGTTGTGTGTTTCTACTGGTCAAAGTGATGGCTGTGATGGGAGAATTGGATCTCAGTGAAGGGCAAGTGGTCCATAACTTTAATTTTGGAGACAGAAAATGTAGGCTAAGGGCCCTGTGGTACATTGCCCAATAGGAAATGTAGAATACTCAAAAGTACTTTAAAAGTGCTTGAGTTACTTTTCTCAGGGAGTAACATTGGAAGTACTTTAAAAGTATTTGAGTTACTTTACTCAGGGAGTAACGCAGTAAAGTAACTGGTTACTTTTTTAAAAAAGTAACGCAGTAAAGTACTTCGATTACTTTTAAAGTAACCCTTACCCAACTCTATTCATTACCAACATAATAACATCAGATAAAAGTTATGAAATAGTTGTGGCAACACTTGAAAGGTGGATTCAGGAAGTACTTAATTTAAAAACACAAGGAAATCAATATTTAAATTCAATATTTTACAGACTGTAAATGACCTTCCTCAAAAGAGGAAGTGGTTGCCTTACACATCTTTCGCTTCAGCCAAAGGGCAGCACGAGGCCAATGCAGTAACCACCTGGATCAGGAAACTCCTGGCATATCTGGAGTACAACACAGGACAGGATGGACGCCTGAATGGAAAGAATTGGACACTAGTAGTGTTGTAGATAAAATGCTGCTGTGTTCATATTTATGTATCTATCTATTGTATATTATTTACAAAGTTTTTTGTAGTTTTCATTTTTTACATTTGCTAAAAATAAAGTACTTTTTACAAAATACTTATTTGTCATTTCTTTATTAGTGGGTTTTTTGGTATAATGGAACCTTAGTGTTCAGAATTGAGTTTACACAGTTGTATCTCATTACATGTCATAAAAACATATTCTTCTTCAGTTCTATAGTCATACCTGTAAATGCTTTGGATGTTCTGCAGGGTGTATGGCTTCAAACAGTCAGGCTCCAGGCCTGGATGGTGTATCAAGCATGTAGAATAAACTGGAACCTGGTTCATTACCCCGAACCTAATAAGCAAAAGAGACACAAGGCATACTGTTTTATAAGTAAACAAATAAAGACTCAGGAGACACATCACTGCATAGAACAAATACTGATCCAGGAAGCAACATGCGTTTTACGATGACATTTTGATTTTATATAAATGATGTTGAGAAATTGTGACACACTGGTACATTGCACAGATTTACAATCATAAGGTAAAGATGATTATAAAATGCAGCTACATTTTAGAATGGTTCCAGTAAACATGACAGCTAAGACATCTGAATGTACCTGTTGTTTTTATTCATTTGTTTTTGTATAATACAGAAATCTGTCATCTCAATCTGCTGTGGTTAAATTGATGAATTCATGGGTTAAAACTTGTGTGGTTTAAACGGGGACGTGTTAGTAGCAGAATTTATAATAACTTTGGTATCATTACCTAGCACAAGCTACATTAGTCTGATCTGAGATAAGCCTACTTAGATAAAAAAAAGAGTTATGCTTTACACCACTGCATATAACAACTGAGTGCTGCAGATGGTGTTTCCACGTTATGTAGTAATTGACTATATTTTTAGAAACCTTTTGTATTTTGCAGCAGACGTTTTCAACTTCATTCAGTCAGAGGACAAACATACAGTTGTTAACATAATGTCAGATAAGTTACAGTTATCATGTTACAGCTGAAATATAAGACAACTACAAAACAAAAAGTTACCACTGTGAAATGTCCTGCTCCAGTATTTGTTGCAAATGTGTTTCAGAGTCTGTCGGCTTGTGTTTCTTCACTCAAATTGATGAGGGCAAACTGCTGCCATCGTTAGCTTGGCCACAGCGATGTTGTTTGAGGTAGCCCCCAGAAGTGTAATTAGATAAGGTAAGGGGCGTGACATTTCCGATACACGCTCTAAGTGTTGCACCAGTCACAACAGGCTGAGCAAGCTGACCAATCAGAGCAGACTGGGCTGCTGGGGAGGCGGGACTTAAGCCCAAACACAGCGTTTCAGACGGAGGTGCTGCAGCAATGGGCAGTATAAGACAAATAATGAGTTTTTTTAACATTAAAGCACATAAATCTATTCCACTAGACCCCAATATTACATATTAAAATCAATATAACCCTGAAAATAAGCATAATAGGTCCACTTTGATGATTATAACACTGTAAAAAAGACCTACTCTGCTGCACAGGAACCAATGAAGAGAAGCAGACATTGTTGACATTCAACCACCTTTGTGTCATCACATTGTGCGTAGGTGGAAGTTGTTTGACGTCCCCTGGAGATCCCTGCCCATCTGGCAGCGGAGGTCTGCTGGGAGTGGCAGGGGGCCAAAGCTGAAGCCAAAGCCAAACACTGTTTATCTGCACGCACTGTGATGCCACACAGCTGGTTCAATATCAGCAAAGTTTCCCTTTATATTCATTGTCTTATGTCGCAATCACCAATGTGGTGGTTCACTTTTACATTGATCTGTAGCCTATAGTTCGGCTTTAGCTTCTAACTATCTTTGTCTTTTTAACCTGTTTTTGCCGCTGAGTTAGTTTGACACTCTGGATACATCCTTCAAGCGCATTTTGTACACCCCTCTGTCTGCTTCTCTCTGGAATCACTATTTCATTTTTCAAAAATTTGATAACATTTATTCAGGGAGCGCAGTTAGTTACAGCGTGGGCTCCATGCTTACTCCAACAGCTTGTTGGGCCATCATAAAGGGGCGGGGCTTTGCAAAAGGTCAATTGGCTAAAGACTTCCGTGACTTACAACTGACTAACAAGTGACTAATGACTCATGTAACTAACAACTAGTCCAGCAACTCACTAACAACTCACATGACTAACAACTGACGAACGACAAACTAACAACTCCTGTGACTTATGACTAACAAGTGACTAATACGACAAAAAAACTTAAAATTGACTTTTGGTTTCACAAGGATTTGAACATTAGTCAAAGTCCTGTACTTGTTGTCATTTGTAAATCAATTAGTATAGTTGTGTTACTGTGTATTTGTAAAGAACTTTGTTTTACTCACATGACTCCAAAGAAATTGGCAAATATATTGATTTATTAATTGACTGTGGCCAGCTTTAAAAAAAAATGCAAAACTATATCAAAGCATCCATTTCCAAACACTCACACAACCTGAGTAGTATAATCCATGTCTCATTTATCCAGTCTTGTGCTCAGTACCTCACAAACACATGCCTTTTCACACTAACACAGACCCACAGACACAGACACACACACACGCACACACACACACACACACACACACACACACACAAATAACAAAAACCATAGTGTCAGAGTGTGGCTTTTATGAGAGAGAATATATAAGTTTCATTTTCAGTTAACTTTTTAAATCATAAGGTTTAAGTGTTGTGTTTAAATGACATTTTGAGTATACTGCTTGACTTGTGTGAGAGTTTGTAAATAGATGTTTTGATATGGTTTTGCTTTTGTGAAACGCGGTCCCCAATCAGTCAATATGTTCACCATCTTTAATCTTTAAAGAGGCCCTGAATCTTGCAGTGCCAACAGTAAGTACAACAATCACCATGATCTCCTCATGCTTACCTTTAGCTGAAGTATGAGAAAACCACAGTTTTCAGCATGGATGCAGTAACCTGGTTAAAATTAGCTATATGTACATATATATATGTGTATACATATATATATATGTGTGTAGGTATATATATTACCTACAAATAATTGTTACTATAAAAATACAAAATACGGTTGTAAAATAACTTAAAGATAACACATCTGAAATGACTGAACAGCTACTATTGCTACAACAGATTAGAACATCACAGTAATCCCAGTTATATAGCTAATGAATTGTAACAATGGCCTTCCTTTTTATATCCAGGCAATTAAGGCTATGTGAAATAGAGTGATTAATCTGAGTTTGAGTAATTTTATTTTTTATTTTCAGCTGTACATGACTTTAAAATGGTCTTTGCAGGTTTTCTTCAACATCAATGTGCACATTTATAAAATGTTCTTTTCAGATTCAACACCTATTGCTACAACTCATCTATACACGACAACACTCACATTGTTGCCATCGAATGTGGTTACCAGTAGGTTTTTAGAAGATGGAGTAGAGTTCCATAAGGAGTTAAATTGTGTTTAAAGTTTTTCAGCATTTGTATCTTAACTTAAAGGATTTTCCTTTATTTATTATTTCTTTCTAGATTCAACATCTGTTGTGACAACAGATATGAACACTGCAACAGCTAATACACCAACAGCAAGTCTAACTAGTCAGTGCTTTAAAATAATTAATAGACTAGTTTCTGTTTTCCAAATTGTCTTTCATTTTGTCTGTATTTTGTCTGTTTATCAGATTTTACTCCTCTGTTTAACACACACAATTATGATTTTGTTCTTTTCAGGCTCAACAACAGTCTCTACAACAGCTGTGAACACAACAGCAGTTACAACAACAACAACAGCTGTAACAAGTCAGTGCTTAAAAAATCATACACAACTTCTCTTTTTCCCAAATTTATTAAAATTTATATTTTATCTTTGTCAGATTTCACCCCAACGTTTAATACACATAATTGTTTTTTTCTTTCAGACTCAACAACAGTTGCTACCACAACAGCAGTTACCACAACACCAACAATTATAACAAGTCAATGCTTGAAAATAATTAATACATTATTTGCCTTTTCCAAATATTCCTAAAATTTGTTTTATATTTGTTTATAAGATTTTTACATATAAATTTAACCTGCAGAAATATGTTTTTTTTTCCAGGCCCAACAACAGTCGCTACCACAGCTGTGAGCACAACAGCAGTTACAACACCAACAATTACAACAAGTCAGTGCTTGAAAATAATCATACACTACTTTAACTTCTCCAAATTTTCTAAAAATTTGTCTGTATTTTATCTTTATCAGATTTTACCCCTCAGTTTAACCCACAGTTATGTTTTTTTTCCTTTTCAGACTTCACAACACTTTCCACCACAGCTGTGAATACAACAGCAGTTACTATGACACCAACAATTATAACAAGTCAGTGCTTTGAAAAATCATGCATTATTTGCCCTTTTCAAATTTTCTTAAGACCCGTAAGACACAAAATAATGTTGTTTTTTTCCAGACTCATCAACAGCTGGTGCCACAACTGTGAACACTACAGCAATTACTACAACACCAACAATTATAACAAGTCAGTGCATAAAAAAAATCTGTATTTATGTCTAGTTTTTTTGTACAGTATAAGTCTGTGTTTCATTTTTTTGTTGGTCAGATTTTTACATCTAAGTTTAACACAGTTTAAGTTTTTTTTTAATGTTTATTTTCAGACTCAACTGCAGTTGCTACAACAGTTGTGAACACAACAACAGTTACCATGACACCAACAATTATAACAAGTCAGTGCTTTAAAAATAATTCTTACATTACTTTTCCTTTTCCAGATTTTCTTAGAATTTGTTTTTCTTTTGTCTCCATTTATCATATTTTTATCTCTGTTTAACACACAGATTTTTGTTTTTCCTTTTCAGACTCAACAACAGCTGATGCCACAACTGTGAACTCAACAGCAATTACTACAACACCAACAATTATAACAAGTCAGTGCATAAAAAAATCAGGCATTATTTGTCCTTATCAATTTTTTTTTTTTTTTAGACATATCTGTATTTCATTTTTGTTCATCTGGGGCCGGTTGCACCAACTGGTCTTAAGCATGGTCTTAAGCTAAGTCGGTAACTTGGCGTTCTAAGTCCGACCTTATAGTTACGCTGGTTGCACCAACAGGGCGTAAGCCTTCTTCTCACTAAGACCGGACGTAAATCTTATGCCTAGTCAAGAGCAGGCGTAAGGTCATTATCAAGTTGCTCTCATGCGCTCTAGAGCGCAGAGAGCGCAACTTGGTTATGGCACGTCTCATCTACCGTCTGTATATGAGCGGGCATTTAGACGGGAGAGGGTAGGTAATTAGGGACAGAAGCAATTGGACATAGCCTATATAATGTCGAGGAGCTGATTGAGACGTTTCACTTAGGTAGGAGAGATCAGTTTGAACTCATTGAAGAGCTGTCACTGGATTTACAGTTTGTGTTGGGCTGCAACACAGCACTACCACCGGCCTTCCCACCGGGCAGGGGAATCCTCCCCAAATACGTCACAATGATGTCACTGTAAATTGAGGTTTTCGGGGAGGACCCCCGCCAGTTGGATGATTTTTTTTGGAGGAGATGTATTTTTTGTCTTGCTGAGAAGATCTTTCCACTTCTTCCTCATGTCAGCCTCTGTATGAAGGCAGCCAGAGTCTGAACACGTATTGATGTGCCCCGTTATCTCTGCCCATACCAACTGTTTTTCTTAATTGTGATATGTCTCTCTGCTGGCTGTACAGCTTGATTCATTTTCTAATTTCAGTGTCGGTAAAGTTTTTCGTTGATCCTTAATGTTTTCTTCAAATCTTAAACTGTAAATAAACTGTCAACACAGATGAGAGGGGCTGTCAACTGTCAATTGTCGTCTGTCAAGCACACGAGGTGATTCAGCGGCGCATCATTTGACGTCACCGCACTCCTCTAGGCAGGCCGCGAGGGGCATTCCGGGGGCATTCACATGGACGCGCACAGCTAAAACCAGCGTAGCTAAGACCAGGCGTAAGCCCTGTTGGTGCAACGGGCGTAAGTCCACTCTTTAAGACTGGTCTTAACAAAGACCGTCTTAGGAGTTACGACCAGGCTTAGTAAAGACCAGTTGGTGCAACCGGCCCCAGATTTTTACATCTAAGTTTAACACAGAATTATTTTCTTAATGTTTCTTTTCAGACTCAACTGCAGTTGCTACAACAGTTATGAACACAACAACAGTTACCACGACACCAACAATTTTAACAAGTCAGTGCTTTAAAAATAATTCTTACATTACTTTTCCTGGTCCAGATTTTCTTAGAATTTTTTTAAATTTTGTCTCCATTTATCAGATTTTTATCTCTGTTTATTACACGGCTCTATTAAATACTGTATTCTGATTGGTCAGTCGCGGCATTCAGAGGTCTGATATTACTGTGTAATGACCGTTGCTATGTAGCCCAGTGTTGCTAGGGACGCTGCCTTGACAAGGAGATTCAGCCGTTGCCGGCAGTTTTTTTTCTCTCCTCCCGATTTAATTTATAAATCAATAAAAATCGTATAGCTAATTAATCAATATCATGTCTCAAATTATTTATTTAACTGATAATTAGCCGTGTAATAAGTAGGATAATGTATAATGAGCTGGTGAATACTGGGAAAATAACTCCCGACAGGGCAATAGAACCCCGACGCGCAGCATTGTTATACATTATCCCTTACTTAACACATACAGACTTTTTTTTCCTTTTCAGACTCAACAACAGCTGATGCCACAACTGTGAACACAACATTTATGTCTAGTTTTTTTGTACAGTATAAGTCTGTGTTTCATTTTTTTGTTGGTCAGATTTTTACATCTAAGTTTAACACAGTTTAAGTTTTTTTTTAATGTTTATTTTCAGACTCAACTGCAGTTGCTACAACAGTTGTGAACACAACAACAGTTACCATGACACCAACAATTATAACAAGTCAGTGCTTTAAAAATAATTCTTACATTACTTTTCCTTTTCCAGATTTTCTTAGAATTTGTTTTTCTTTTGTCTCCATTTATCATATTTTTATCTCTGTTTAACACACAGATTTTTGTTTTTCCTTTTCAGACTCAACAACAGCTGATGCCACAACTGTGAACTCAACAGCAATTACTACAACACCAACAATTATAACAAGTCAGTGCATAAAAAAATCAGGCATTATTTGTCCTTATCAATTTTTTTTTTTTTTTAGACATATCTGTATTTCATTTTTGTTCATCTGGGGCCGGTTGCACCAACTGGTCTTAAGCATGGTCTTAAGCTAAGTCGGTAACTTGGCGTTCTAAGTCCGACCTTATAGTTACGCNGCTGGGATGAAGCGTCTGTGCGCCCCCCAAAAAAACGCTCACGAGGGTTTTCGTTTCTATGACAACAATATCTTGACAATTCCTGTAGCCGCGCAGTTTTGCAGCTTTATAGTGATACATACTGTGTTAATCTTTTAATGCTACAGCAGGTGAAGTCATCATCATGTTTTATTAGTAGGATTTGTGTTATTGTAGCCTACTTAGTAACTTTGTCACCACTGTATGGGTTAGAATTGATTACATGTGTGTTGCTGTAAAATCTCTCAATTTATATATTGCTGGAAAAATAATTAATTTAACTAATGGACTTTTTATTTTTTTCGCTGTCGCTCGGTTCCTCCCTTTGATATCGCTTCATCGCTCAGTTGTAATCGCTCGTCAATGTGGCAGAAATCAACAGACGTGCTTTTTTTGCTTTGATGACGTCATTGAAGCAATCAGGGTATTTGGGGGGGGGGCTGCTTGACTGTCATGACATGTCAGCTTTATTAAAAGTATAGCTGCAAATTAAAAGCAACAATAGATGTAAAAACACACAGAGACAATACATCTTAACATTTATACCTCCGACCGCGGCAGTGGCTGAAAATTATACATTTTGATACATACAGGTATACATATTGCAAAACTCTGTAAAAGTCCACCAAAGCATACAGTTTCATTTCCAAATATTTATTTGAAAACGAAACTATTCATACGGTCAATAAAAAAACATTTTGTTAATAATAAAAAACAAATGTAATCTCAACAGTGACCTCGCAAGCCGTGTGTGTGTGTGTGTGTGTGTGTGTGTGTGTGTCAGAGAGGAGTATCAATTAAAAAAAAAGTTTCCACTAATTATTTCGGTGTTTATTTCTTTTATTCTTAAGGTTTTTTTCATTAAAATGAGTAATATAGCCAACAATATTGTAGACCAAAAGTTAATCTAATTTATTATTGTAGAATGTATTTAGCAAATCACCACTTTCAACTGGAGACAGTGCAGCAGCCGCGCAGCAGCAGCAAAAAAAAAAAAAAAAGGCATTATAAAAAGCCGACAAATAGTGTTAATTAATTGACATGCATGAAACATTGGAACATTGGAGAGGCTGTCAGTCCTATTCTATAGTCTGTAATACTTTTTTTTTATTTTATCATAACTTCTCGGAAATTACTCAAAAATGCATTCATTGTGTGCTTCTGAGCACACGGGCAGCATAAACAATGAAGTTACATATGGCAGTCTGGCAGATCGTTGCGGCGCTTGGAGGCAGTTGACAGTGACAGTTTTGTCAGCAGCCATTTTTCTTCCTACCAGTAACCTATGGTTGAGGCAGCTCCAGCTCCAACTCCACTCACATGCTCTGACTCAGGCATCACAGCCTCTGAGCTACAGCGATAGATGCATTGGCGCTGTCCGTGGTGCTTTACACTGGGGATTACAGCGCCCCTCCAAGCGTATATAGCCTACCTGTATGTATCAAAATATATATAGATCATATATAGATCATATATATAGCTATATATAGCTATTGTCTCTGTTATGGTAATGTCATGTCATACAACTCCGGATAGACAGACACGGCCAGCACCAGCTTCTCCTCCATTTTTTTCTGGTTACCAGGGTGACGAGTTCTGCGATTGGTTGCCTGGAAAAAGCGCCGGTGACGACACCAGCGCCTCTCTGAAAAGTTCAGAGATTTTCAACTCAAAACGCTCGGAGCGGCCGCACAAAAAAGGACGAGCGGCCGAAAAAGACACTGGGCGCAGCGCCTTTTCCCTAGGCCGTAGACGCTCTCTCCTCATTGGGAACAATTGAAAAAAGATGCTGGCCTTCTTCTGGTGCTCAGAAAAAGGCGCTATGTGGACACAGGACCTAATAAGTTCAACACACAGAATTTTTTTTTTAATGTTTATTTTCAGACTCAACTGCAGTTGTTACTACAGTTGTGAACACAACAACAATAATAACAAGTCAGTGCTTTAAAAATAATTCTTACATTACTTTTCCTTTTCCAGATTTTCATAGAATTTGTTTTTATTTTGTCTCCATTTATCAGATTTTATCTGTTAAACACACACTTTTTTTCCTTTTCAGACTCAACAACAGTTGCTACCACAGCTGTGAACACAACAGCAGTTACTACAACACCGACAATTATAACAAGTCAGTGCTTAAAAGTCATATATTGTTTACCTTTTTCAAATTATCTTAAGATGTGTCTGTATGCTATCTCTAACAAGCCAGTGCTTTAAAAGAATTCATACAGTACATTCCTTTTCCAGATTTTTTTTTAATTAGTTTTTATTTTATCTTTGTTTGTCCGATTTTATATCTGTTTAACACACACTTTTTTTCCTTTTCAGACTCAACAACAGCTGATGCTACAACTGTGAACACAACAGCAATTACTACAACATCAACAATTATAACAAGTCGGTGCATAAAAAAATCAGGCATTATTTGTCTTTCTCAAATGTTTTTTTTTAAACATGCCTGTATTTCATTTTTGTGCATCAGATTTTTACATCTAAGTTTAACACACAGAATTATTATTATTTATTATTTTTTTAATGTTTATTTTTAGACTCAACTGCACTTGCTACTACGGTTGTAAACACAACAACAGTTACCACGACACCAACAACTATAACAAGTCAGTGCTTTAAAAATAATTCTCACATTACTTTTCCTTTTCCAGATTTTCTTAGAATTTGTTTTTATTTTGTCTCCATTTATCAGATTTCATCTCTGTTTAACAGACTTTTTTTTTCCTTTTCAGACTCAACAGTTGCTACCACAGCTGTGAACACAACAGCAATTACTACAACACCAACAATTACAAGTCAGTGCATAAAAAATCAGACATTTTTTGTCTTTCTCAAATGTTTTTAAACGTGTCTGTATTTCATTTTTGTTCATCAGATTTTTACATCTAAGTTTAACACACAGAATTATTATTATTTATTATTTTTTAATGTTTATTTTCAGACTCAACTTCAGTTGCTAATACGGTTGTGAACACAACAGTTACTACGACACCAACAATTACAACAAGTCAGTGCTTAAAAGTCATATATTGTTTGCCTTTTTCAAATTATCTTAAGATATGTCTGTATTTTATCTATATCAAAGTTTACCTGTAACAAGCCAGTGCTTTAAAATAATTCATACAGAACATTCCTTTTCCAGAATTTTATTGAATTTGTTTTTATTTTATCTTTGTTTATCAGATTGTATCTCTGTTTGCCAGACAAAAAGAAGAAAAAAGGTGTTCGCACACTGTCCTTTAACTTGCAAAGTACTTTATTAACAGCAACGTTTCGGTCCTCATACCTTTGTCAAGCAGAGATGAAGACATGTAGCAACTCATAATGTAATAATGGCTCATAATGTAATAAAATCTTGAGCGCATAATGTAATAACGACTTTGCGCATAATGTAATAATGCAATAACTTATTACATTATGAGCCTTACTGGCGCCACTCATAATGTAATAACAGCTCATAATGTAATAATGGCTCATATTGTGAGAAAAGTGTTGCATTATCATCTTACCTCTGCCATTCCTGCAGGGGTGGAAGGAAATGCTTTCACCTCTGTGTCTCTTTGTCTGTCTGTCAGCAGGATCACACAATTTCTTCAAAACGTAGTGGAGCAATGGCCAACTTAGAAGCCATATACCTCCACCCCCAATACGCGGCGGGCCACATACGTTAACAGAAAGAGAAGCCTAAAGGCCAAAACACACCGGCACCGTACGACGCGTGTCAAAACTGCCGCCCCCATTATTTTCTCTTTACAAACTCACACCGGCGGCTATTGTCCTATTTTTCCAGCGTTGCCGCCCTTGAAAAAGCGGTTGGCAACCAGTACCGCCACCTAGCGGACTGGAGTGTGCAATTGAAATCCGTTTGATGCCAGCACCGCGAAGCTTTTTGTGTGTGTTGGGGGCAGCACTTGACTCGCGTCAATGACGCCGCCGTCATATGACGCCGCCGGTGTGTTTTGGCCTAAATTGTTTAAAGGTCAAAATTGTACACACTGACAACGAGAATGCACTAAGGCATATGTGTCAAACTCAAGGTCCGCGGGCCAAATGTGGCCAAATAATGATCCCATAATGTCCAGGAAGAGAAAAGTCTGTCACACATGTTCTTAGCAGCTCACAATTGTTGGTTGGTTTTACAGTAACTATGACAAAAACGTTTTGAACAAAGTCATAACTTGTGTTTGATGTTATTTTTCTTTATTCACTTGGATAGTTTGATCCTTGATTGATGGAGTTATGTGGGTTTCATAACCTGACAAATTAAAAGGATTTATAACAGAGCAACAAGCAAACATATTTTTTTCTATGCAACTGTAATATTTGTAACTTGAATAAGTAATAAATTCAGAGTTATTTAACATTAAGTAGTAGTTACATTTATTTTACATTACATTTGGTTACATTTAGTTACATTTATAAGTTACATCTGGCCCTTTGAGGGCAGCCATTATGCTGATGTGGCCCTTGATGAAAATGAGTTTGACACCCCTGCACTAAGGGAAGAGGTCTGTGTTTGACTATGATTTGTACATAGGTGGTGCCACAGTAACCAACTCAAAAGCCGGCAAGAGAAGAGGGTGGATTAGGGAAGGAGGGGGACTGCAGTTCATTTAGCTTAAAAGAGCATAAATGCAACAATAAATGCAGGACACAATAATAAGTGAACACTCTTTCCTTTCATACAACCTGATGAAGACCTTCCAGTTGCTGTTATTTTATTGTTGGTCTTAATGCCAATTTAATAAAGACTTTTAAGTATTGTTTTTCTACTAGTTACGTTAAATACATGATAGCAGCATGACATATTCATTTGATTCACTTTATTTTGGAACTTGTGCAAGAATGAAAAGAGCATTTTAGAACCATGTAAACAATGAACGAGCTCAAAAGTTCTTAAAATGTAAACACAGCCTGTCAGGACACCCAAGTAAAAACATAAGTCCAAATAAATTTAACTAAATAATATGCATAAATAATACATGACCATAAATTATAGCTGCCAACAAAAATCAAGTCCAAGGGGCTCCATTTGTCAATGACTGTGTCAGTGTTCACTCAGATGAAAGCTTAATGAGTGAATGGGATTTACAAAAAAAAAAAAAAAAAAAAAGAAAACTTTACTTCTTCCAATAAATGTCTTTAATATGGAACCATCCGAAGGATATATGTTGATTCACGTTCCAGGCTGTAATCCACCTGGCATTTTGGCTGAAGAGCTCCCTGATATTCGACACAAGGCCACTATTGCGTCCAGCCGCTGTGTGTAACCTAAACTTTCCACCGAAGTATCACAAATATAAATTCTTGGTAGGAATGGCAGGGTTAGCTCTATGAACAAGTTGGAAACTCTGTTGAAGGTGCCCAGCATTGTAAAATCCAGGGTCAGGGTCAGCATGAAAGATACATTTTGGCACTGTAGGACCTGCAGAAGGAACAACTTCGGGGCCAGTGTGACATATTGTGTTGGAGTCAGAATGATGGACAGAGTCAGGGTTTGAGTGGTCAGAGTCCAGGAGAAGATGATTGTTGGGGTCAGAGGGATGGTCAGAGTCAGGGTTTGAATGGTGGTCAGAGTCCAGGGGAAGATGATTGTTGGGGTCAGAGTGATGGTCAGAGTCAGGGTTTGAATGGTGGACAGAGTCAGGAACTGCATCAGAGCCAGTATTATAAACAAGCACACTCTACTTCTCTGTTTCCCGAATTCTTTGAATGAATGGTCTGACTGATCCATCAAGGCTAACGTAATGGTCCCTATGACCTTCAGCAAAATAGCCTAGAATCAGCAATGGCAGACTTTCATCGTAGTGACCATGCAGGGATACTATTGCTGTTGCATCCACACCCAGTGTTGATACAATCATAAACTGCACATTGAATATGGTAGATGCTCTTTGTAGAGTCAAATGATCACCATATGTCACCAAAATACATAGCATGGGTGCCACCTAGGGGCTCAACTTTATACATCTTACATAATGAAATGTGAGAGTGTAATTGATATTAAATAATTCTTGCTTTCACAAATTTTGTTTAATAATGTGCTGAAACCCATGCCGTTTGCTTTATTTGCACCTTTAAGAGGTAAAAATGATGATAATGCAGCAGTTTTCTTACAATATGAGCCATTATTACATTATAAGCTGTTATTACATTGAGCGGCACCAGTAAGGCTCATAATGTAATAAGTTATTACATTATTACATTATGCGCAAAACCGTTATTACATTATGTGCTCATGATTTTATTACATTATGAGCCGATTATTACATTATGAGCCATTCTTACATTATGAGCCATTATTACATTATGAGATGCAGCCAATCAGAGACTGAGCAAACAGAGGGCAATAAGTCAATCATGTCAAGCTGCACACAACTAGCAATCACAAGGACCTCCCACAACAAAAATGGTGGAAAATTATAGAATAATACAAAAGATACATAATAATTTAAGATAAATTAAATCCAAATCTTGCCAGATCTTCTTTGCTAATGCCAAACAGCTATTTTTTGCTGTTGCTATTAACTTTTGTTTTGGGCTTCTGGTACCCCCAGATGCTGACAATCAGGTGCCTGATAGGCATCCCAAGAAGACCGTTTCCTCATCCTGTCAGCACTTAGGAACTGTAGTCAGTACAGATTTGCAGTGAAGGTTTGTAGGACGATATAGCCAACGGCTGTCTGTCCAGACAATCCGGAACAGACTGCATGCAGCCAATCTCCAGTCTCATGGGGCTGCCAGGAGGCCTGCCATGACTGCCTTTCACCGTCAGGCCCATTTGCGCTGGTGTCAGCAACATGTGCACTGGAACCTGAACATGTGGAGGAACATTATGTTCAGGGATGAGTCCAGATACTACCTACGGCAGTTGGATTGTAGGGTCAAAGTGTGGAGAAGACGCGGGTAATGCTTTGCTGATTGCTGCACCATCTAGTAACATCTTTTGGTGGAGGCAGTGTGATGGTACAGGGCAACATCTCCCTCACTGGAAAAACAAGGCTTGTCATCATTAGAGGTGATCTTGATGCAGAGAGATATCGAGATGAAATTCTGCAACCAGTGGCAATCTCATATCTCCACCGTCTGAGACTCTGAATTCTGTCCTCCAAGATTTATTGCCAAGAATTACACAACAAAGAAGTATCTACCAAACACAAATTTTCTTACTTTTTGTGCTTAGTGTAATTTGAGGACACTGTGTCCCAGAATGCCTGTGATAAGTTGGGAGTGAGAATGTGTTGTTCACAGTGTAGCAGCTTCAGTAGATCATAATGGATGTGCTATGCTGTGGGCATGCTGTGGCTGTCGCACCGCATCCGAGGCCTGTGTATTTCGGCCATAAGACAGACATACTGTATTTGTCCAGTAAATAATACATTAAAACTTTGCTTTAATGATTTTTGTTTCCATTGCTAGTAATAACATATGGTAATACAATGGCCTTTGCAGATTCAACACAAATTGCTCCAACACATCCAAACACTACGACGGCTACCACAGTTTCACCAACAACTGCAGTAACCAGTAGGTTTATAGAAATAAGGGGTTGGGTACATTTGTCAGTAATTTGGCTTCATTTGCAGGATTTCACTTTATGTTTTGTTTTTTCAGATTCAACACCTGTTGCTACAACAGATGTGAACACTACAACAACTGATACACCAATAACACTTATAACATGTAAGCAAATCAGAATCATTGTTATATTATATTCCCGCCCTGTGTCCTAGAAATTATGTTTATATACAACTAACCTGAAACAGCAAATAGTAATGCTGAACAAATTCTGTTTTCTGTTAACATATTGAGAAAATTTTGTAATTAACATACCCGGCAAATCATAAAAAGGTTAATAGCAAACGAATAAAATTGTTTTCCACATAATAGGCAATATTGTTTTACAGTATCCACTCAACTTGACTACAGCATTAGGTCTTTATTACCTTTTTCATTAACATTTAACCGGTATCATTTATAAACACTACATTTATGTATCGCATAGACTTCAAAAGGTAGGTGAAGCCTATGCGATACATAAATGTAGTGTTTCCTTAGCTGAAAGAAATGTTGTCTCTGAATATAATCCAAGCAGAGATTATGTTGCCACAACAACTCATTTAAAAAGCAAAATGTAATTTATAGGAGACAGGGTTTTATATTCCCTTGTTTTATTTTAAATGTTTATTGTTTTAATTATAGTTATGTACAATATGTTTATCATAAAAATTGAATAAAAATTTCAGATACAACAGCAGTTGTCACAACAGGTGTGAACATAACAACAGTTCCCTCAACACCAACAACTGTAACATGTAAGTGCCTAAAACCAATTGTTAGGGTATAGTATTTTGATATGGGTTTGAATAATTGTGTTTCTTTACTGTCAGCAATAAAATTATAGCACATCTGAACACCACAACACTTTTTCTTACAAAGCCCTTCCTTATTATGCAATGCAGTGCTTAAGTTTTAATAATGTGAATATAATGAGATGTTGTCCACTAAATATGTAGTGATACTTAAAGTGACTAATTTTGTTGAATAGCTTTGGGGTTTGTAGTGTCAGCAATAACTGTGATTGCAAAATTGTCCTTGCAGATTCAACACCTGTTGCCACAACACACCTGAACACCACAACACCCTTAACTTCACCAACAACTACAGCTATCAGTGATAGTTTTCAGATATACCTAACTAATTGGATGGGACTTCCCAACATTTATTTGACAATTTATATATATATATATATATATATATATA